GAGAATTAGGATTTCTAAGATTGCCTTAGTACACTGATGTTGACAGACTTTTCATTTAGTTTAAAGAGGCGGGTGGAAGGGATTCGTCAATTGGACCCACCTGATACTAAATGAGGGTTGTCTTGGACTTGTGACTGCTTGATATATATATATATATATATATATATTACACATTAGGCTAGAATTGAATTTTCTCCCAATAACATCAGTAAAGCTAACGTTTCTATTAATGTAATGTAATGTTTCTATGTAATATATATATATATATATACATATAAATTAATTGAGTTTAGCTCTGAAGAGGATAAGTAGTTGTGACCAATCAAAAAGTGGGATATAAAAGTAAAGTTACTTTTAAAATTAGACTTACCCACAATGAGGAGTTGCCGGCTTCCAAGTGGGTAAACAAACTAGACCAGTAGGGCAAGTGGCTGTTGAAGGACAGAGCGCTAAATCAGAGCATGGCGTAGATGCTCGGGTGCCTGTGGTCACTGATGTAACAGGTGACTCTGAGCCTAGACTGGTGATATCGGTAGATGTAATCGGTAGCCAGACCTGGTTGAGGCGAAGGTCACGGAAACATGTGTGGCCCAAACTTGAGGCAATGGGCAGGATCGTGTCAATAGGCAGCGCAGTAGTCGAACGAGGCAGCGTGTCACGGCGAGCACCCAAGACAATCTATATGAGATCGAACAGTTCAAAGGGAAAGCGAAAATTGGAGTGTAAACTGTGTAAAGTAGAGCATACATCGCAAATGCAAAACTTTCCTTACCTTTTTATTCTTAATTGGAAAATAAATAGGTAACTTAGTGAGGTGATTAAGGCTGGAATAGCTGCCAACAAATTTCGTAGATAACCATGAATTTTATTAAAACTATTTCATCCCTCAGCTTTGGCCTGCTCTAGAATTCCCTTTGCGAGTTTATTCGTTTGAAAGTATCCAAGCTTGGGCCCTAGCTTAATTGTACTAAACCGCTTGGTTGTATGAGGGTGGTTTCCTTTAACTTAAATCTATAATGGGACAAAATTGTCAAGGCAAATGATTGGCTGCCATTACCATATTGTCACTGCTCAAACAATTGTTGTGGAATTTCTCACAAACTTTTCTTAAGCACTATATATATATATATATCGTACCTATGTACCAACCAGAATATCGTAATCAGATTAAGGCTTATAGAAGAAGTAGCAACCTTGTAAATCTTACTCCAAAGTGTCCACAGGCAAAATTTGAAAATAGAGAATATGTTAAGAAAAATCCGCATTAATATGACCTTTAACTTCTATCCTAGCCATTTAGCATAATCTACCTCAAAAATCAAAATATCATCTGTGTTTCACACAAGGGAAAACCAAAGACTAAATGACAGCTAAATAGTCATGTGTGAATAGAGTACAGGGAAGCAATAATAGCCGTGGGTTTTTTTCTATTTTAAAAATTCTTTAACAATTGCCATTTTACTGTCATGTTTTCTCTCAAAAAAGATAGGCGAATTAGTGAAAAAAGTGGGGCATAAAAACAGTACTTAAAGAAACTCTCACACTTTCTTCTATTATGCCATCATTTAGAGAGAAATATGACCCCTTATCGAGATC